TTTAATTTGATATGATCCTTTTTTTTTTTTTTTTGTATTTCTTTAGGAAAGTGTCTACGGGGTGTTCAGGGTCTCACTACTAGATCCAACTCATAGTGATCCATCTGTTTATAGCCTCCCAAGAGCTGAGATTACAGGCGTGCCACCATGCTCAGTTTCACTTGCCATCTCAGCATGCCCCAGGGACGGGGCCGGCACAGCAGGCCCAGGAATTGAACCCCAAGTCCCTGTGTCTGCTTGCAGGCGCTTTAATCTACTGAGCTGTTTGGCTGGCCCATGATCCTATTGGTGATGCCTGGTATTATATTTTATTGTTCTGTTCAGGAAATCTTCTTGTCTATGCCTATGTCTTCAAAACTTTTACCATGTTTGTTTTTCAGTAGATACATTTGTTTTTGTTTTTATATTTAGATTTGTGAACCATTTTGTTTTGACTTTAATACAGGGTAAGAAATATGGATCTAGATTTATTCTCTTGTATACAGATAACCAGTTTTTCCTGCACCATTTGTTAAACAAGCTATCTTTTCTCCAGCCTATTTTATTGGTCCCGTTCTCAAAAATCAGATGACTTGACTGAAGGTACTTGGTGTTGTTTCTGTATATTTCCATTGGTCAACAGGTCTGTTTTTGTGCCAGTACCATTCTGTTTTATTACTATAAGTTTGTAATAGAACTCGACCATCAGGACTATAATGCTTCCTGTTTTGCGCTTGTTGCTATTTTAGGTCTCTTCGAGTTCCATATAAAATTTAGAATTGTTTTTTCTAGTTTGGTAAAAGAATGCTGATGCTATTTGAAATTTCATTAAACCTATCTATTATTTTTGTTCATATGGCTATTTTAACATTTTGGTTCAGCCTAATGGAAAACAGGGAATGTCTTTCCATTTTCTAATGTCCTCTTCAATCTCTTTTTCAGAGATTTCATTATAGATGTTTTTCATTTCCTTTGTTAGGTTAATTTCTTAGTACTTAATTTGTTTAAAAGCAATTGCAAACAAGCTAGCTCTCCTGATTTCTTTTCAGTGGGTTCCTTGTCAGGACAGGAAACACTATTGATTGTTGTGTTTAGTTTGTATTCTGTCACATGACTGAATTGGCCTCTTACTTCTAAGAGTCTTCTGGTGAAGGTTTTTGGATCTTCCATGTAAAGGATCATATCATCTACAAATAAGGATAGTTTGACTTCTTCCTTTCTTTTCTTATTCTATGAAAAAAATTAGAATAAAAATGACAATAGCTAATATACCAAGTATAATTATCTTCAAAATAGTTAATCATAGTGCAAGACATAGATAAATTCTCTTACAAAGAAGAAACAAATAACAGCACATGAGTTTTTTTTCAGTGAATTAATAGAAATTAGTAGTATAAATGAAACAAATTAGCATATATGTGGAAAAAAATTATTTTTAAGTTGGAGTAGTTTTTTTTTTTTTTTTTTTTGCGGAACCAGGGATTAAACTCAGCCCCTTGTGCTTGCCAGGAAAGTGCTTATTCCCCTGAGCCATCTCCCCAGCCCCTGAAAATCTTTTTGAAATAGTGGAATAGGTAATTTTGGGAATTAGTTGAACTTCTCCCTACTTCTTATTTATCTTCTATTTTGTAACATAGAGGAGAGAGAGAGAAAAAAAATCTTATATAAGAGAAATCATGGGACGTGTAAGCTTGTATGTCTGACTAGTGTGGGGATTCTTTAAACAACTAAAAGTAAACATTCCATTTGACCTAGTTATCCCGTTTCTGTGTCATCCCAAAAGATTTAAAATCATCGTATTAAGGGATATGCGGATACCCTTGTTTATAGACACAGTTTACAATAGCTAAATCGTGGAAGCAGCATATATGTCCATCAACAGATAAATGGATCAGGATAATGTATTTATGTACAAGGAAGTATTCCTGTGCCATAAAGATTGATAAACTTGAGGCATGCCATTTGAATACATTTTTCTTTCTTATTTCAATCCCTTTTACAATTATAGGTGGAAAAAAAAAAAAAAAAAAAAAAGGCAACCATACAAGAAACCATGTTCTTTAAAGAAACATGTTTACCTTTCCAATTTTTATGGAAAATACTGAATACTCCTGTTCCTCAGCAAATGGAGAAATACTGATAAATTCCTTGGAGGTTCAGAGCTCTGCAAGTTAACCTCTGTTTGACTGCCCCGACAGAGTTTTAGTTTATTGGAAATTGTCCAAGGAAAAATTATTTTACATTCAACTAATTTTGGGCTTTGATAACACATTTCACCCTGTTAAGAGTTAAATGCTTAAAAAAAAAAAAAGTTAAAAGCTAATCAATTGAGAGTAATAATTATCTCCTTCTAAACCCAAAAAAGAATTTTTCACTTTGCAAACTTGAATCACTTGTTCCCCCGAGGATTGCCTTTATTGGGGGAAAAAAAAAATCACAGAAGAGAAAAACAAGGCAGAATTGCTACATTTACTCAGATACTTTATGGCTGATTTAGGAAGATTGTATGCAACTATATGATTTTAATGTGAATTTCAGTTTTTGTTCAGTGAATGATAGCTTGCCTCTCTTTTATTAATTGTTCCTACAAGAACTAACCGTAGTACAGTACTAATTGCTTATACACTGACTCCCAAAGCCTCCTGGTTATTCTAGATGTTATTCTAGATTAAGAAACAGTGGTGCTTGTGGGTTTTAAGTAGCATGGTAAAGGAAGAACCAGTTAGTAGTCGCTTACTTGCGCTTTGTACCAAGTAATGTAGATGAGTAATCAATTTCTCTTTTTTTGTGAGCCTACAGGGTAGCTAGATATTATTTTTCAGCATTTTTAATGCTAGTGAAAAGATAGGAAATTAATGACATCCAGTTACAAGTCAGGTATTGTTTATTTTTGTGTCCTTTTCCTAGAAATCCTGTGTATTTTCTTTTCATCTAGTTCTGTCAATGCTTTTCTTGTTTAGGATGCGTCTTAGAGAATATTCATTTTAAGCATTCTAGAAATGAAATCAAACCTTGCATTAAGATAATGAACAATCATATTTGGTATGATCATATACTAGGATTTCACAAAAGCACAACCTTACTTGTGATTTATCTTAGACTTATCTCAGACTCCTCTAGACCTGTTGCTTTAAATATTTTAATAAAACATGTTTCTCCCACCCCCATTGAGACTTACTTTCCTCCCCAATCACTTTAATTATGTGAGCTAGAATCCTGTTTCTCACACATCTTCAGTTCTCTACCTTGTTAAAATTAATCATATAATCTCCCTTTAAAACATAGTATTAAATCACCATAGTAACACAGTATCCAAGCTTTATAGATAAAACATAACAGCCATAAGAAGGTAGCGTTTGGTGTCCCCTTGACAGCTCTATAACTTTTATAGAAATGTGTTCCTTCTTCTGGCTGTGTAAGGTACAGGGATAGCATTACTTACACCTGCTTTATTACTACGCTGCTTTTAAATTGCCACCTTGTTTTTGTTCACCTTCCTAGTTAAATAAGGAGAGTGGAACATTTTCTTTTCAAATTATTTTCCCGAACTCCCTAACCATTCTCCAAGGGATGGAATTATTTCCTTAAATATAAGTATGTAGGGCCCTTGACCTTGGTAGTGGGATACCTTGAAAATTCCCTTAATTTTTAGTTTTTAGTTTTTTTTTTTTTTTTTTTTTAATGTAAGGGAGTTTTAGAAACCTACCCTACATCTGAATCTTAATTCATATCATATCCCAACTCAGTAAGAATTGTGCCTGGTAAGGTATGATTTTTCATTTCTATTAACAGTTTATAAAGTAAATTGTAAATGATAGTATCAATTGAATATTTTACCAGTTTGAGTATTTTATCAATTAGAAGTTACTTAGTAAAATTCAGTGTAATATGTACAGTACAGTATGAATTAAGGAGTCTGTTTGAACAATTGTTTCAAATTATAAAATATTTTAGTGTTAATTTATGTATTAGATTTAGAATGTTTAAGTTCTAAAAAGGAACCAACTACAAGGTAATGGATAAACTGATTTAAAATCTGTTTCAGTGGATTTTTTTCAACAGTAAATTTTAAAAAATTTCTATATTACTCTGATTAGCAATATACTTTCTAAATTTTTAAATATTTTTTACCTTCTGTTGCTTTTATGTGTTTAATATTTTATTGATTCAGGAATTTGTACTTTTTAAAAATGCTTAAAGCATTATTTCTATTTCTTGGGATTTTGCATTGCATGACATTTTGGTACTTCCATCCTCTGAAGTATGAAATATGTTTCTCAAATTCAGAAATTATAGAAGACATGAGAATTTAGGAAAGTGTCAGCTAACCTTGTTTCTTTTTCATTCTAGTTTGAGTGGCAGCTCTTAGCAACTCTGAAGTTGTTTCCACTTCCTACCTATTTTGTCCTTTAGTGTCTGTTTCTGTAAAATGGGAATGCCACTGAACAGCCAGGTGGTTGTGCTGACACATAGTAGAGACACTTAAGGTTTGCAGGTGCAATTACCCTTAGTTTCTGAACAGCAGGGGTCTTCATTGTTAGCAGCAAGTTGGTGGAGTAGCCAGTGGAGTTAGGCTTGGCTTAAAATCCAGCTGGGACCTTGGGTGAGTGTTGCTCAACTCTCCTCATCATAAAACAAGGTGAATAGAATCCCTTTTAGGATTCACAGATTGATTAGCTGAACCATCTTAGGGCCTGATCTCAGTATGGGGAAGGCATGAAAGTGCTGATGATTTTGATACTTGGTGGTCACTAGAACAGACTTTAGCTGTCTCTCTGTCTCTGTCTCTCTCTGTCCCTCTGTCTCTGTTTCTCTGCTCTCTGTCTCTGTCTCTCTCTTTCTCTTTCTCTCTGTCAACTAGCTACAGTCTGGTTCTTTGAAGTGTGTAAATTTTAAGCTCATTTATAAAGAATTTCACTGAGGGAGGAAATGGTACAGGTTCAACAACTTGTCATGATTAGATACTTTATCAAGAAACTTACTGCTCCTTCATCTTTCCCTTTGTTCTGTCTTTGCTGCAGCCTCACAGTTAGCCAAGTTGGCCAGAACTTCACGTTCGTGCTCACTGACATTGACAGCAAGCAGAGATTTGGGTTCTGCCGCTTATCTTCAGGAGCCAAGAGCTGCTTCTGTATCTTAAGGTAAGGGAGAAGGGCTTTGGCTATTGGTTAGTTCTGCAAAACAATGTCAGCATTTGCGTTATTCTTCTGTAATTAAATTTTCCAGCTGTTCTCTTTATTTCTCTATCTGTTTCCCAGAAGTCACTGCACTTTGGGAGAAGGACTTCACAGTGTTGCTCTTCCACTTGAAGTTCTGCAGATAATTGTATTTATTTATTTGTATCACAACTCTTGGGTGGGAAGGGACCATTGCTCCTGTGTAATGTGGGAAGCTTGAGAGCCAGCATGGCTTTAGTTCCTCCTGCTGTTATCTGGAGCTGTCAGAAATTAGCCTGTTAGACTTTTCTGTGGACATTTTGTGTATGTAAGATTATTAATAAAGTATGTGTCTGTAACTTGGGACGTCTTGCAGATGGGAGTTGTGTCCTCCTTGAAGTAATACCCGTGCCCCCTGTGGGTCAGTGAATGAATAATGCTTCCCAACTTGGCTACCTCAGTGAGGTCTGAAAAATATACAGGCCTCTATGAGAAGGCTTCTTTAGGTCTTCTGAGATCCTTCACACACCAGAGCCATACTTGCTTAATGCTCTGTTTCCTCTGCCAGAGAGGAAAGGCACATTCTGGGTTGAGAGGATGTGTGGAAATCCGATTTTGGAGCTGCTGGCTCTGTGGGCTCCTGCTGGGCGCCTCCTGTGGGGGAGGTAAAGGCATCCCACGTGCTCCCCTCCATCTGCCCTGGTTAAGTAGGTGTCAGGGACCTGCCTCCTGTCTCTCTCTGCTCATGTACAGCAGGGCAGGGCAGTGGGGAGGCGCCCTTGACAAAACCCGGGCCCCAGACTTGAGCCTGGGCCCAAGGATAAAAGGATTCCAGGAAGGGTAGTTCCCTGCTGTCCTAGCCTCACTTTCTTCTTCTTCTCACCAAGAAAAGGACCCCATCTTCTCTCCCATATACCTATATACCCACATAGAATTGGGCCTGAGGGGCTGATGTTCGAAGTTCCTTTGTTCACTGTCAGTCTGGCTTACATTTCTCTATGTAAATCTTGCCATCATCATTCTCAGTCAAATAGGTTGACTCTTTTCTGCACCACACACAGATTTTCTAATTTGGGTACCAGAGGCCAGCTGGCTGCTGGAGAGCTCAGAATGTGGGTAGGACCTGGTGCCCTTGGGAGAGGAATAGACCATACCTGTTCTCAAGCTCTCTCAGTAGCCCAAGCCTAAGGACGACCCGTCCAGACTACTGGATGTGGGTGCCACCATTGTCTATGCTTTCATTTTAACAGTAACACTCTTCTATTGTTTTGAAAGGAAAATTTCCAATTTGGACAAAACACTGTATATTTATATTGTACATTTCAGGGAGGTGAGTGCATAACCCAGGTTCCTAGAGTTTTACAGAAAGGTCTTCCCTTATGTTTTAGGTTACATTGCGTCTTTCTTTCAAAACTGGAGAGAGAGAGAGAGAGAGAGAGAGAGAGAGAGAGAGAGAGAGAGAGAGAGAGAGAATAAATCATCACTATCATGAGTTCAGCAAATTTCAGAGAATAGGAAACTTTATTTAATACTATACATTTAGTGGGCTAAGGGTGTTAGTTCAGGGGTACATGCTGGCTTAGTATGCTGAAGGCTTGTGGTAAGGCCCTAGCATATGATAGAGAGAGAGAGAGAGAGAGAGAGAGAGAGAGAGAGAGAGAGTTAAATTGCTTGTGATTTTTCCATTTGATTTTTTATGCCCATATGTAAGGTCATGTATTTTGTGTTTGTGAGAAGCCAGTTGAATAGGCTTAGTGTTACTGTTTTAGAATGAAAAATAACAGCTATTGATGTTTCCTCCCTGTTACACTTGGAACTATGAAGAAAACTATGATGTGTTAAATCACTCATGTATTTGTCAGCCTGTAATTGAATGATTACCATAAGCTATCTTTGCTTTTGAGGAGTTCACAGACCAGCCAGGGTGGTGGATGGTCACAGACCACTGTGCTATATACATTGGATGCTCTTAAGGTACAATGTTTTCTTAATATTGACTATCTAGTGACAGAGGATAGTGACTGTGATTAAAAATAAAATGTCTTCTATAAATTCTGAAATGTACATTTTGTGAGTATTTTAACATGTACATTTATACATGCATGGCACTTCCCATGTATGTGGTTCGAAGTGTTGCTAGGTTGAGACTAGTATGTAAGTGGAAGGGTCTACTGGTGACAGAATGTCCAGAGGAGAGTGCAGGTGTCACCCAGAGAGTAAGGTCAGAGTTTGCGGTGTCTTCTTTTATTGGTTAGTCTCTCTACTTTCTTCAGATGTGTTCCCTTTAGTTGATCTGTGCCTTGAGGTCTACTCACAGTTCATAGAATACCCAGTGCTATAGCTGAAGTATCAGCCACTTCTGTTTTCACTTTTTACTCTTTTCATGAGGGATATGGTTCCCTGTAGGAGTGTTTATGTAGACACAGCCTTTGCTGTCCCCAAATTTAGCTTCTTAGGATCACTTCTTCTTGGCCTGTTCTTCCATATTCTTTGTGGCTCCATGGGCCATTGTACCTTCTTTGGCTTTGTACATTCTAACCATCCTCTCAGAGTGGATTTCCTCAAACAGAGCTCATCATTCCCTTCTGAACACATCGTAAATGCTTTCTATAGTTCAGTAGATCTACAGAGTCCTTTGTCTTTCTCATATTGGAGAAAGTCAGCAAATTATAGCTAAAGACCTTGTCTTACACAGCTATGTATTTCCAGCACGTAGAACAGTGCTCATCTAAGATCCTGAGTGCATTGTATGAGGATCTTTGTATGTTTCATTTTTTGAAGTCTCATTATTAAAAGTCAGTCACCAAACACACAAAACAAAAACAAAAAAGATCTGGGGCTGGGGAGATAGCTCAGTGGAATAAGCAATTGCCTAGCAAATGCAAGGTCCTGTGTTCAATCCCCAGTACCAAAAAAAAAAAAAAAAAAAAAGATCCTGAGTGCATGGTATTCAGAGAAAGGGAGATGCATCAAGAATGGAAAGCCAGGTACTAAAGGCACCGGGTGAGAGGTTGAGTCAGTGGGACATTAAAGATAAAACCCAAAGTGCAGTTATTAGCAGAAGCATCTCTGATTTGCTGATTTCATATTACCTACAATATGAAATTTGTGGTGGGGTGGGGACACCTTTTAATACCCTAGGGGTATGCAGATGTTGACTGACATATCTTGTGTCCATAAAGGACTGGGTCATCCGTATTACAAAATTTAAACTTAACTTTATAATGAAAGGTTCTGAGACACCTTTATATAATAAAACCTTTTAGGTTTATTTTTATTTTCTCTCCTTCCTCTCTGAAAAGTTACCTGTGAAGGCCAAGAATTTTTATCACCCCGACCACCTCCACAAATATGTGAAAGGTGATCAAAGCTTATCTGGTCCATCATGGGTACTTAGTAATACTTGTTTTCTGAAAAAATGAATACCTGGGAAATAAACCTGGTTTTTAAATTTTTTTTCTTTATCAGTTAATTTTACAAGAAATGTAGTTGTACTAGAGAATAAATAAGTCACATTAACACAAATGCCACTATAAAGTCAAATACATTATTTCCTGCCATGGTTGACTAGTTCCTGCCATTAAAGGAGTTTACTTCTCCTTGAGATTCACTATAATATTTAATGAGTTGCTGGATGGTAGTTAATGCTAAATGAACAACATCAACTAGGAGGACAATAGTTATGTGCAAGTTAGTTGTTCTCCATTATAAGTTCAGAAAAGTATTTTGGCATTTTGAGGTTGTGCCATTTGGGTCTGATATGTCATACACAATTATCTCAAAAAATTGTTCCATATTATAAAATTAAAGTGACTAAAAGCTAATTTTTTTCATGGTTTCCAAATTTCCTAAATGGCATATATCTCACAAAGGCCAGAGCTGTAATGAAATATGCTGTTTCTAGCCAACTTCTGATTTGGGGTCCATAGAAGGAACATACAGGTTGAAAGTCAGTTGATCGTTGGGTATCCATAAAGTCACCCAAAACTTAAATTTCTTTGGTCTTTGTAAAGGACATTTATAGGTCATTGGGTGCTACATTTTTCTCTATTTTGTATAGGTATCATATTTAAACTCTTGAGAAAACTTGAGTAGCTACTCTTATATTCAAATAAAACAGTTCAGAATCTATTAAATACTTCAAGAGCAAGTAATTTGTTGATCAAGGTGTAACTTAAAATTGTTTTTAGTCGAACTTTAAACTTTTTTTTTTGGCTGACTCAGGCTGCCTTAAGGGCGAGTCTGGTATAGCATGTAGACCTGGGGATCGAACCGCGTTCCCCGGCACCTGGCTGAGTTTGCCTCAGCAGGTGTTTTAAACAACTGAGCTAACCCGCAAGCCCCTAAACATTTTTATTCAGTTAAAAAGTATGAGAGGCTGGGGGAGATAGCTCAGCAGCATAAGTTCCTGTCTGGGCAAGCACAAGGTCCTGAGTTCGATCCCCAGTACAAAAATTAAAAAGTAAAAGTATAAGAATACCTAATATATATCTGGAACAAACAAAATATAGCACTTGGTTTTTGGTGTTTATTTATGCAGTCCTCTTAAAATAGATAAAGATCTCTCCCCAACTCCCTATTTGAAAACCGTTCAGTTACCATGTTCATCTAAGATTTGATGAGCTGAGCTTGACACCACAAAATAACAGTAAGTACTTCTTGTTATTTACCAAAGCTAAGGCTGAATATGCTTTTAGATACACTGTTTCCACTCTAGTTTTCCTGTTCACATCCTATTTCCCTTTTGTTACCTTCCCTCTCTTAGGAGCCACTCAACCTTGGGGAAGGGAATATGTAAACAAGTAATTTAAGTGTAATATGATACATAAATGTTATTTAAAAACACATGTATAAGTTTTTTTGAGCTCATAGATTGGGCACTGCTCATCTCTAAGTTGTAGAATCAGAAAAGTGTTGCTGATGGATTCCAGGGAAAGAGGATCAAACAGTATGGGTGCACACTTGCCTGTAGGTAAAAGGGAGAA